TGTAGGAGGTAGTCGAAGTTCTATGGGGTGATCGAAATAACATAAAAATGTTTACACATAAAAGTCACACTGGAGTATAGATCGCATTTTTGGGGAAAATTTATTTGATAAAATCCAACACCAAGAACATCTTGAAAGAAAATATATAGTAAAAATAGAATAGAGGCCAAAACAGGCAAAAATAATTGTACGGTATGCTAACATTACGCATTAAAAACAAACGGAGAATGTGCCTAGTATAATAACATAACATATTAATAGTTATTCAGATAACTATTTTACCGTATTTCTCCAAATTACTAAATCCAATGAAATCTTCATCCTTGAACTTTTAAACAACTCTACTAACTCAAAACTTTCTTTCTGCTGCATCATTACCATTTTTGGCTGCATAGTTTTATACTTGTATAATCTGAAGAATAGTATTTTCTTTTCGGTGCCAGTTTTGTAAAGAGCTTCTCAGTTGTTTTTATAAGTTCGCCCCAATTTTAACATTATCAACACAGAATTGGAGCGCCCTCTTGGGGTTTAGTGTGAAAATAACATGTGAAATTATATAATAATGTTTTAATAAGTCACATAAGTCGCTGCAGAGTATAAGTCGCACCCCTGGCCAAACCATGAATTAAATTCCAACTTACAGTCTGGAAAATACAGTAGATGTTTGGAGACTATGGATTCCAGACTTTTTTCGTTACTTAGCTTCTTTATCTGTGTCGCAGTGAGGGGTTATTTTCACCCATATCTAGTTTAAATATGTGGAAGAAGCTTTCATTAGCCTTAAAAAACAAGATTTCAACCTAAAGAGAGTGTGATGAAATCTTCAGGGTGTTCACGGTTTGGCTGGGTGAAGTTTGATAGAAGTTAAAGAAAGTGCAAAGGAACTGGTAGCCCAACAAAACTCCTTTAAGTGACTATAACATAAATATGGCGGAGAAAACGACTTCAACATCCATACGACGCATAACTCTCAGTTAAAGTCTTGGAAAGTCTTAGGAAACCAGGAAAGTCTTGGAAAAAGAACCCATTAAAAATTGACTGGTGGTTTGTGGAAAATGGTCTCATTAGTGGGAAATGAACTGGTCAATAAGCAGCTGATGTGTTAGACACAGAGGTAGAAATCAGATGTATCTCTGCCTCAGGTTCTGATGGACCTCAGCGGTGACAAATCTAATGATGGTTTATTTATTTATTGCACCAATTCACAACACATGTGTTCTCAGGGCGATTTACAGAGACAAAACTGTCGGTTAGAAAAAACTGTTGATTGCATTCAGCCATTAACCAGCAAGACATGCTACTCCTGGATGAGCAACTACTGTGTGACAAAATTCAGCTCAGCGAAAGAACAAAGTCTCTACAACTAACTTTTATTAATGTCACATCGAGCTATAGGAATGTAGAAAACAGGGGCAGATTTAGAAAATTTGGGACCCTAGGCAAAGACAGGCAGGGGGCCCTCTGAATTGAGAAACCAACACATCAAACAGACCCATTATACACATAGAGAAATTTTAATAGAATAGACATCCATTATCTGTTCTAGGTTGTGTCCCTCTCTTCTTGTCCCTTTTCTTCTTGTTTTCCTCTCTATGTTTTGTACTCAGCTGACTTTTCATGCTGTCTCTAAAGGAATGAAAGATTTTTTCCAAGCACTAAGCTCACTTAGCTGATTGCTCCTTCCTGTGTTTCCAAAAAGGCCAAAGTAAATAGCCCAGTCCTTCTTTTCACTGTAGACAAGCCATGATCTGCTTATCTGTTCTCCATTTTTCATTTGGATGAAATAATAGCTGCATGAATCATGACAGCAGACAAGATAGAGGAGAGCAGGAGGCGGGGTTACCAATCTACTCGCTCTGGAGAGCAGAGTTCGCTGCTTTTAGATGTTGTCTCCAAAGTCTCCAGTAGCAGAAAAAAGTCTCTAGATTTGGCGCTAGGAGCTTTTTAGAAATCAAAGTGCTAGAGGGGTCTGAAAAGTCACTAGCAACTAAAACACTAAGTTGGCAACACTGCTCTTCGCATCGTTTGTTTTCAAATGGTTTCAAATGCTGAGATAGGTCCGAGCACGGAAACCGAGATAACTGTTGAGTCTAAATGGCACGCAAAACTGAACCGGACCGCGGAAGACTCAACCAAACCACGCGAAACTGGTACTAGTTCATTAGTGGGGCTCGGCGCGGTTCACCGCGTCATCTTACAGTCAGCCTCCGTAATCAGGAAATTTCAGACATTCATCAAAAGTGGTTGAATGACTTTATTGATCTCACAGTGGAGAAAATTACTCGTTACATCAGCTCAAATAGCCAAAAAGAGAAGAAGGAGGTGCCAAAAGAAGAAAAGGTCCATGGTATATATTAAGTATACACAGTAGTAGCCAATCAAAATTTCCCCACTTTCCTTGATTTGGCCCTTGGCTGGTTCTTGGCCCTTCGTTGGCTGGTCCCCTACGATTCCGTTTTAAACATCAATCTTTGTACTAAAATACGATTTGTGGACATTAAGATCTAAAGAGAAGCATCATCTCCTGGTCAGACATTGTAATTCACTGAAAGGGTGGAGTCAGAGTAAAAAAATATGCACGCCCATGAGAAGGATCTGCCAAAAACAGAGCAGCTGGGAGTTGGAGGGGATTCTGCTGCCATTCGGCTGGCTTTTGACTGGTAAGGGCCATTTTGAATGGCTGCTACCACATATGATAGCTTCACATGGGTATTTATATAGATAGATATTTATATATATAGCTATTGGCCTGGGTGTCAAATATAAAGAAATTGGGTATTGCACAGGGTATCAAATAGTAATTGCACATTATACATCGTACAAGTTGTAGTGTTGCATTGTAGAGTCTGGTGGCAACAGGGATGAATGACCTGCAGTAACAGGGTGTAAAAGTCTTTGACTAAAGGAGCTGCTCACTCCTCTCCAGTCTGCTGCAGAGGGTGGAAGGTGGCGTCCATGATGGATGGAAGCTTGGACAGCACCCTCCTCTCAGCCACTGAGTCCAGTGAGTCCAAAAATCCTAGCTTCCCTACCATGCCACACGATTTCCAGTGATGATTCTGCTTAGCAGTGTGATGAACTTTAATGTCCGTTGTTGTTTCCTGTGTCTGTAAGCCCTGATTAGACTATCGTTTGTCGTATCCAGACTATCGTTTGTCGTATCCACTTCCCAAAAACCGAACGGGTCAAGTAAATTCCCCAAAGGCTGCCTTCTTGGCCTGACTCTCCGCAAACAACAAAATATCACAATTAGAACCAAACTTCCTGAATGTTACGGACGCCGCCATGTTGGTTTGCTTGTTTACCTCTAGAGAGCAGTAGTACTGTAGACCGTGCTAGCGTGGAGTGTAAACGGTTGTAAGGAACCAAGCTCTGCACGGTTTGGAGCTTCTCTAGAAGCTCTAGTTTCTACTGATTGGAGCTCAGTCCGCACTTGGCACAGGTTGGTTTTCAGAGGGTAATGTAAATGGGGCTTAAGGGTTTAAGTCTCACATATCTCTCATATACATCACTAACCTTCTTTAATCTTTCTATATTGGGATCATTGAAACAAATGTGTTCTTGTCTCTTCAGGTTTTGTGAGTCCCCTTGCAGTGATCCTGAATTCCCTGGTGGCCGTGGACGAGGGAAACGGATGAGAATGGCCATGTCGGAACGATCCTGCATAGAACAGTCCCATTCCACTAAAGTCAGGGGACTTCCACACCATCGGAGCCGTGGGGGCAGTGTGGCAGGATCCATCCACAGCAAAGGAAGGAGGGGCAGCCTGAATCTCATCAACAGCAATGGCAGGGCGCCTTCCTCCTTTTTCATGGTCGATGATGTTAAATCCACCAATATATCCTCCTCTATCCCCACCGGGAAGCGAAAGAACAAACCCCCAGCTGACTTGGACCTTAGTCTTGTTTCCTCAGACGAAATTAAAAACGCAAATGGGAAGAGGATCCGAGCAAAATCCCGTAGTGCCCCATCAACGCCTTTGGGCAAATCTGACCCATCTTTCATGGACCCAGGAGGAGGCTGTGCTTCCTCCCCACCCCCACCCATCCTCATTGACTGCCCTCATCCAAACTGCACTAAACGCTACAAGCACATCAACGGACTGCGCTACCACCAGACACATGCACACCTGGAGGCGGACGAGCAGAGGAAGCCTGAACTGGGCTCTTTGAAAGATGGAGAAAGCGAAGATCGACTATCAGACTGTGAGGACAACATCAGCAATGTGACTTATGAGCCCCCAGAGAATAGCACAAACACTCATAGCACCTCAAAGAAACCTGCTCCTCTATACAAAGTGACGACAGTGGGATCTCCCAAAAACAGACGATTACTTCTGAGCACCGACCACAGCCCTAACGCCAACTCAAAAACCAGAAGAACCTCACTCCTGAAAGACGGCCTGATTGACGACCTCAGTAATCTTCCCATTATCTCCAACATGACAGTGGTTTTGGAGAACTGCATGGTCCCAGACAGAAGCTCTTTGGCAGAGATGCCCAAACTGGAGGCCGAAGGACTGATCGATAAAAAGGGAGGTGTACCGGACAAAGGTAAGAAGGCCAATGGAAAGGTTGAAAAACTATCCAAGTCCAGGACTAACCGTCCAATTGCTCCAGCGCCAGCACCACCAAAGCTGATTGCCATACCTAACACCACCTATCCGACCAGCACAGCTGACGTTGTCTCCCCACAGCAGCCTTCCACAGTGGCTACCGTAGGCCTTACCAGTAAAAACCTTTCCCTGAAACCCATTAAACCAAAGCTTAGCATCGTAGTGGAGCCAAACCTTGTCAAAGCCACAGTGGTGACTTGCAAAGAGACCAGGAAAAAAGAAAAACGAAAGCTAAAGGATAAACATAACAAAGAGGCGGCTAACAGGACTGCCAATGGTGACAGTGGTGTGATCAAGGTGGAAGATGTTGGTATTGGACCTAAAGGAGTGGTTAAGGAAATTTCTGGAAGCCTTTTGAAGGAGCACCTTAGCAAACAGGATGTAATGAATGGACTCACAGAGAGCCAGGAGAGCAGGATGGCCAGCATCCGCGCAGAGGCCGACAAGGTCTACACCTTCACCGACAACGCCCCCAGTCCGTCGATCGGTGGATCGTCGAGACTTGACCCGAGTCTAGCAGCAGACGGCGGCAGCAAGAACGACAGCCCTGCCTACTCGGATATATCGGATGCCGGAGACGACGGGGGGTCTTCAGAATGTCGCTCTGACGGGATGAGGTCCAAGTCCAGCTCCTCGTCTTCGTCCGAGGTGAGCTCCAATAGCAACCATGCTAACTCTGGCAAAACCCCTCCCACAGCTTTGAAAGAGCCCCATTCCCCGTACTACCACGGCTACGACCCCTACTACCTGCAAGGCTACATGCAGCCAGAGAGGCAGAACAGCGGGACTGTCGCTTTCCACAAAAACTCTCCTCACGACAGCAAAGTAAAAGACCGGAGAGAGGAAATGAAAGACGATGATAAAAACGACTTCTCTGATCCTAAGAAAGTTGACGTTCCAGCTCAGTCTCAACTCCAGCTGGCTATGAGTCAGACCCAGACAGCTTTAGCCCAGTCTCTTTACTATGGCCAGTACTCCAGAGGACTATATATGGACCAGAAGCTTTTACTGGCCTCCAAATGCTGTGACCAGACCCTTGGTGCCAAGCAAAGAGGACAGGGGGTAAGGGACACCGAGGATGTTAAACATATGGTTGGGGTTTCAGCCAGTGGAGCCATGCTAGGTAAAGGTCCAGACGGTGCTAAAGGTTGCTGTCCCAAGCCGGTGCTTTCCTATGTGGAGATGAGTGAAAGGGGAGAAAGGGGGCAGAGTCTGGGCGTAAAGGTAGTGCACAGTGGCATGGTGGACCAGCACCAGGTCTCAATGAAAGACTGTGATGACATCAAGTCACCTTCCTCATCCTCCTCCTCTTCTTCATCCCTTCACAATCCAAACAGTCAGACAGATCTGGACAATGTTTCATTTTCCAGTGTAAGTTTCTCCCTCTGTTTATAACCCGCCGCCGCCGCTGATGGTGTTGTTGGTGTGCTTCACTGACTGCTGTTGAGTGTCACAAAGAGATTAACCTCACATTGTGTACAATAGGTGCTAATACCAAGGACCATGTGGCTTCTGTGCTGCTACAGCTCTACTCTGACATTCTACTTCAGTTGTTTCAAATGCAAAAAAGTTTTTTTGTTTTCTAACGTTTAGAGTGAAAATTATTGGAGGAAATGTGTTTTTCCATCTTTAGCTGTTAAAGGAACAAAATGCTTGTACAGTTTTGTTTTGTTTTTTTCCACAAGCGTCATCCTTCTAACCCGAGTACAACAAGAAGTTGTTCTTTTTTTTTCCTCCAAATTGCTCTAAACTCTGCACTTGATCATGTGTGAGACGCCACCCTCCTCCTCCTCACATCTCACTGCTGAATGGCCGCCTGCTGTTGAAACGTCGTCATCCTTCATCAACATCTCATCCAGAGCCGGTGATAGATGGTCTGTCTATGGCTCTGTTAACTCAACTACACAGTGTTTCCTCTATAGTCATTCAGCAGCGGTGGGCCAGCGCAGAGAAATTATCCTCCTCTTTAAAAAAACGAACCGATGAAAGTCATAAATTATCCTTCGCTTCCCCTTAAAAAGCACTAAAGAGACAATTTGCTGATGTTTGAATAGAACGGTATCTAATTGTAGCCCTGCACCTGGTAATGCAAGCAGAACCGCGACGTGGACCGAAGTCGAGCCAAACATGGCTCCCACCCACCACTGTTAACAAAGAATTATAGGGGAAACACTGAACCAGCACCAACACTTGTCCCCATCAATCTAGTCCCCAGACGGTCCCGGCTGGGCACACCGCCTCTCGCACAGCAAATATTCAGAGCTACAGAGTCAGCACGGGGAGAATGGCCAAGAGGGGGAAGCGGGCACTGGGACAGAGTGGGGAACCAATGTGGAGCCTGCGGGGGCCAAGATGACCCCAGGTGGTGTAGATGCTAAAAAATCCAAAGCTTATGGGCTCCAAGATTTCCCGGCCGTTGCCGATGCGGAGGATTCACACCGACACGAGGGTCTGGAGGACCAGGATCACGACGCAGTGGGAGGGCTGGCAGAGGAGTCTCAGAATGCCAGGGCGGCAGTGTCACCTCCCATGACCCCACAGCAGCCCTACGTCCAGTACCAGCACCCCTCCTATTCTCCCTATCTGGCCATGTGTGAGGGCAGCGGGGGCTCCTACAGGGGAGTGTCCCCGACCCTGGTCCACAACTACCCAGGTAAGACGGGGGCGAAAAAATCATTCCAAAATTACAGGAAAAAAATACAGGGATTTCTGTCAAAATGTAAATGAATGTAGAATCTCTAACTATGGAGGGTTAAATGTGACAAAACTAAGCTAATAAATGTTGCATTAAAAAATTAATGAAAATGGAAATGCAAAGGGAAAAGTATGGAGCTAAGTAATGGCCATAATTATATTGTTTTAACGAAAAAATAATAATATAAAACTGAAAATTAATTATTAGGGGTAAAAAAAAGATTTTGAACTGAAATATATATTTTTAAAGATTAAGATTTAAAACATGAAATAGAAAATGAAACTGAAACTTTTCACTGCAAAAACTTTAAATCTAAACAGAGATGGGAAGTACAAATACTTCGTTACTGTACTCAAGTAGATTTTTCTGATATTTTTACTTTACTTTACTACTTATTTTTATGGCGACTTTTTACTTCTACTCCTTACATTTTTACACAAATATCTGTACTTTCTACTCCTTACATTTTAAAAAATTGTCTCGTTACTTTAGTTTTGAATCATTTCAATGGAGTTACCGTTATTATTTTTCACGTCATCAATACCAAATTCAATCTAATTGGATGGGAATCTACGTTGCATTTGACGCACCACTACAAGATGAATCGACAGATTCGGCGGTATTCATTGGCGGCAAATCATTGCAGCTTGGTGGCGGTGGCGTTAGCATAGTAGCATGGACGACGAGATGATTGAAAATGAACACAACGGAGATCTAGTCCTATTGGCAGACATCCATTTAAAATGTAGGCAACGGCATGAAAAAAGTGGTTTCTACTTTTACTTTTATACTTTAAGTAAATTTACAAGCCTGTACTTTGTTACTTTTACTTGAGTAAAGAAGTTTAATCAGTACTTCCACTTTTACCAGAGTATTTTTTAACACAAGTATCTGTACTTTTACTCAAGTACGGAAAGTGAGTACTTTTGCCATCTCTGAATCTAAATAAGTAATTTTTTCTTAAAATAAGTGCATTTTATCCTAAGTTGAGGAGGTAAATGAAACACTTTGCCAGTGGAACAAGATGATTTACATTTGAATTAAGAAAAATCAGTTGCATTGTCTTGTTTCGAGTGCATATTATCTAATTAACTTATTTTAAGTGTAAAAATACTCATTCCATTGGCAAACTATCTTATTTACCTGCTCAAATTAAGGCTTAATACACTTGATTTAAGAAATTTTTACTTAATTTCAGATCGTTTTTGCAGTGTTGAAGCTGAGGAAAAGAAGCTTAAAATATCTTTTTTTACAGTTTCACGCCTTTTGCTGCTTTCACACCAGAAACGTTTTAATCCCCTAAAATGCACAGAAATCTGGATGCTGGGTCAGACGCTGAATCAAACTGTTCACGTTGCTTTGACGCTTCTCTGCTCCGGTTGTTTATCTGCTCTGTTCTGTAGCTTCACGCTAGCGAGCAGATTGGCTTTATTTACTTTGATAAGTTAAAAAAATAGTTTTAACACTTTTTTAAATGCAAACGTCAGCCTCCAAACATCCTCTGTTTTTCAGTTCATCAGGATTATGATCCCACTAAAATATGCATTTCTTGTTTGGAGCGCCAGACGTCCAGCTTACTGCTGGGGGGGCAGCTGGAACTCCCCGCTGAAAGGGGAGGACCTGAATATTCACATATTGAACAAAGAAGATAGAAGGTTTGAGAGGGGCGTGAAGGAAGCAATCTATGTTAGGAAAGAAAAAAACAACCTTAAACAGGGGGGGGACTCAGATTTCAGCTTTTAAAAAACCCACAATCTAGAGATAGAGTTGATTCCTTCCCGCTATCATCGCAACCCCAACCCCCTTACAGGGGAGCAGAAGACTCTCCTATTCAGCCAGGCCAACAATTCCCTTTAACAACCCCCCTTTCTTTTCCCCAATTTTCATTATTTTCCACATCTTTCTGTGAATTTTACAAATAATCTTAGAAAACGAATGAAAGTCATAGATTAGAATGAATGATTGAGAGGAAATCTAAAATGTTTTTTCTACTTTTTTCCACATTTCTTGGTGTCTGCATCTTATTGCCCTCCCCAGGTTTCCACTACCCGCTGTACGGAAAGACGGCAGGCAGGGAGGAGTCGGAGGTGACCCCGCCCAGCAGAGGGGAGACATCAGGCGGCAGGCTGATAGCAGAGTCATCCTCCTCCTCGTCCTCCGTGGAGCTGCTGCAGCAGCCCAATCATCACTTCCAAGGAAAATCCCCCGCTGTGAGAAAACGCTCGCTCTCCTCAATCACATTTCAGCTCACAGAGTCCTTCCTCTGATGTTTATTTTCCTTCACGCGTTAGATCCCATGCTTCCTCAGACACAATCCCCCCCATAGGAAAAGATTAAAAGACAGGCAAACACGACAGGAAGCAGATGTTTAATCTGTGCCTTGAAAAAGTGAATTCTAACTTCAAGCTTTTCCTCCAGCCTTTATTCTCCTGCAGAAACAACCAAACCTGGTAGCTGCTGTGCATCTTAAATTCCCCCTTTCTGATTTCAAACATCAACACTTCTTTAAGTTATCTCCAAACAGCCAAACAAGTCATCTCCATGACTTTATTTTAACTTTAAAGGTTTCTAGATGATATAAATAGCATTACTGATAGGTTCAAATTCAGAAAACATTCAGAGGCAGAAATTATAAACCTCCTGCTTCACCAGCAGTGAAGATAAAAGTAGGAGTTTGGAGATTTAATCACTTTATATGCAATATAAATGAAATGTGTATTTAATCCAGTAACTTTAAACATGATATATAGAGTAATTACAATCAACTAGATTTTTTAAAGCTTTTGTTTCTGCTAATTGTGTGGTTGTGTTTGGGGGTACACATATTATTAAATTTTTATCTTGGTTAGATAAAAATTCTTTAATCAGAAATTTGTTTCTAAATGAAAACAATATTTAGACCCGGTACAGGGCCCAACTGACCCCTGATTATGTTTATCTATTTATAGAAATGGCCCAAACTCAGTCACATGGTGTTTCATCCACACGCCTTTGAAACGGGTTTTATAAATTTCTAAAACATGTTTCAAAATTATTTTTTCACAAGCACTTTATGTTTTATAGTTGTGTAAACAAAATGAGAATTAAAATTCCACCTGACATGTGTCACTCTGCGTGACAGCAGGTATTCATTTTTAGCCCCGCCCCCTAATGGCCGTCATTGTTGGAAAGTAGAGGCTCAGACCTTTCCAAGGAGGGGTCAGAGGTCATTGTGCGACCATTTCAGGTGATGTAACCAGCATGCGTTACATAAGCTGCTCTGTTATTCTTATTTTCTATTCAGTTTGGTGAAATTATTGGTACATTTTAATGAAATAGCGACTAAATCTCAGGAGCAAAGGCTTTGCCTCATGCAGAAAGTCTACAATAATGGAAATCAGCATATTTTCTGAGCAGATTCAGCCTGAAGACAAAGCGTGAAGCACAGAGAGAGATAGCCAAAGACCCAAGAACTCGAAGACGTCCTGGTAACAGGACATCAGGAGGAAGGATTAAATGGTGACGACCAGGAATGACGGAATGACAAGAGGAACGACGAGGAAATGAAGAGGAAACTGAAGGCAAAGGCTTTAATTAACACAGGGAGTACCTGAAAACAGGTGAGGAATCATTACCTGCAAATATTGGTGAAGGTTTTCAGTCATCCAAGGTCAGAGTCATTCTAAAAAAGTTAAATAAAAAAAAAAGCAATCCAATGGACTTTGTTTCCGAGCTTGAAGACGTTTCGCTTCCCATCCAGGAAGCTTTTTTTTTTACATTCAAAATGTTCATGAACTGCAAACACAAGCAGGTTTGACACCACTTCACAAGGTTAAAGGTCAAGACAAGGAAGATGTTAGCAGGACTCCAGAGAAATGTGTTGTTTGTATAAAAGCTGCAAAACTTTTCATAGTAAAGAAGAAACCAGGAGCAGGATTCCTGAGAGGTCCCTCCTACTGCAGCACACCCACAGCAGTCATTTCTGCAAACCAAAGAAGAAAAACCTGAAGAAAAAGCTGCAAGAACAGGATGATGTCACCTGGTTTCTGCAGAGCTTGTTTTGGTCTTCAGGTTTGCAGAGTTGCATTTAACAAGTCATGAAACATTGTCTGTTGGACGGACCCAAAGGGTTGTAGAGCAGAGGCGGAGCCAGAAAATGTTTAGAAGGGTGACCAGGCAATAACCAATGTAGGCTGAGGGGGGGCCCGAAAGTGGATCGGCACCAGAACCCCAGGGTCAATCTACACTGTTTCAACAGGAAAATTAACGAGCGCAACATCCATATTTTCAAAATAAAGACTAACCATACTTTCCTACAGCCTTAGCTAACAAATAGACGTATATATTTAGACATCCATGCTTTCTTGATAGAAGGTATAGTGGATAAAATACTTTCAGGTTTGAGTTCTAGGGCCAACATCTTTTCCATCGTCATTACTTACCTACTTTTATCAATAATCTTTCGGCATAAAATGTATATTTACATGTACTATTATCTACATTATTGATTATTTAATATGTTTTTATTAAAATACTTTTTATCTAGGATTTCACTAAAGACTCCTAGATGGCTTGCAGAGACACATTATTCTCCCTTTACCCCATATAACTAAAAATCTACTTCTGAAAAGAGCATGAATACTGCATTTAT